GCTGTTTGATTCAGTACCGCGTCCTGTCCCAATTTTGCGACTGTGGCACTTAAAGGGTTAAAAATGAATATCAAATAACAGAAAGAATAAAATAAATATAACAACAAAGTCAAATTTAAGTTTATCAGTACGAAGCATATTAATGCAAAAGCTGCTTGGGGTTAGCGGACGCAGACATGCTTTTACAGAAACAGATTAACTGGTCAGATAAAATCTAAACAAAAGATATTTAAACCAGAATTCTTGACCATCATCAGGAGAAACCTGCAGTGAAACATGCCTCCCTCCCTCCCTCCCTCTCACCTTGTCGTCCTGAGCTGAGGGGTCCTTGATGATCTCCATGGGGGGAGGCAGAGGGGTGTGAGCCTCCTCGTCCTGCTCCTCCTCCCCGCCGCTCTGCATCCCAGAGGACGTCTTGGAGAGGAGGTTGCCGTCCTTACTGAGGACTCTCTGAAAGAGACACAATACAGACGCAGTTAGAAATGAACAACAATGATCAACTTACCACCTTATAGCTTAACTGATCACAGCGATTGTTCATAAACTATTAGACTAATAAAACAAAAAACATTGCAGCTGTTCTTCCCAGAATCAGTTTCTAAGTTGATTTAAAATGAGTAATAGAGCATGAAGCTGCTGAGTCATGCTTCATTGTATGTAGTCTGAGGAAGAATCACTGATAAATAACTCGTCATGTTCTGGTCAGACTGCAGATTGCTTCTTTTTTTTTTTCATTGCCTTTAGTTGATAGAGACAGCTGTAGACTGACAGGAAACTGGGGAGAGAGAGAGGAAAGGACTGGCAGCAAAGGGTCACAGGTTGGACTCGAACCCGTGGACGCTACAGAAAGGACTCAACCTTGGTACAGGGTGCACCAGCTCTACCAGGTGAGATACCAAGGGGCCCCATGTTGATTGTTTCTAGAATAAAAGTGTCTGAGCTTGAGAGCCAGTTTTGGCAGGCTTTTCATTCAAATGCAAAAGCTGTGTGTCACTGAGTTTGTTCAGTGAATGCAGCTTTAATTAGTCTTGCACTTTCTAAATGCAAAGTAGTTTGAGCTTGAACAGCCGCTAACAAACGTACCCTCCTTACTTCAAGAACATGCCTTACCTCAAACTATGCCCCCCCATTCTCCTCCGTATAGACACACACCGGAAATACAGAGAATCACTTTGTAACACGGAGAGAGCTTTTTGAAACACTGAAAACTGAGCAATGCTATATGGTACGACAGTGTTAGAAGACTTTGGATAGGTTCTATTATGCATATTGCTCCCACCCAGTTTTAGGAACAAAAGTTGTCTGAAGTTGAAACTCCTCTGTCTCTATTGAGTGAAGTGTTTAGAGAATGGCTTGTGGGTCTAAGGTTTAAGTGGCAAAACATTTACTAATGGAATGGACTGCACTTATACAGCGCCTTTTCTAGTCTTAAAGCACTTTGCTTTCACATTCACACACAATAATATTAACATTGATAACATGAAACTAATAATGTAACTTAAACAACTAAATCCCTCTTTTATCATTGACTTGTGACATATTGGATATTCCATATTCAATGCAGTTTATTTCCTGTAAATATTGAACAATAATACATACTTCATAGGCTTCTTTTTTGTGACAAATTCTGTGTTTTCTTTACGCTTGGCCATTGTTCTATTAGCTCTTCAGTTATTGCAGGACATGGCTGTTTATCAGAGTGAAGGCTCTGAATATAGCTTGTGTTCAGGTCTTTATCCCTTAAAATCAAGATGAACCCTGTGAACCTTTGACAACCCCTAGTGGGGATCCCAACCTTTTAGGCTGGGAACCACTGCCCTACAGCATAAACAAAACCTAGCTTTGAGTTTGAATTTATCTGTTGAATACATTGTCCCGATCTTAATTTTTGTCAAACCTCTGTACCTGATCCTTCTCAGATACAACATCTCCTTAATAGTCAAGAAACTAAAGTAGCAAAGAAAAACAGCGTTATTTTCATTGGACTGACATGTTATTTAGTTTTTAATGGTTGGTTATGGTTGGTTTATTTTCAGGCTTTCAGATGCCAAAAAACTTCCCAAGAAATGAGGACATGGACATCAGTTTATGTCAGCAAGAAATTAATATGACAGTATCGTAAATTTTAAATAAAAAATGCCCAAAGAAGTCCCGAGGTACTGTCAGTAATCAGTGAGTAATGCAGGAGTTTGATCACAAGTTTGTGTGTGTGGGTGTATTTGTGTGCCAGAGAGAAAGCCCTTACACACAGAAAGAGGAACTTAATGCCTATTACGTAACTGTAGATGGTATTAATAAATCTCTTTATAACTCCATGACATGTGTAGACAGGCGCAGATAAAACAGAGTTTAGTAAAACAGAGTTTAGTAAAACAGAGTTTAGTGACACATATCTTGTAGCACTTTACAGACCCAATTAATGCTGCTTTGACAATATACACTGTGCATGCTAGGTGTACGCCCAACATTAGTGATACAAACACACCTTTAACAGCATCAGAAATGCAATGACAGATTTAGTGGTGGTTGGGTGTTAGTAAAGACTTTGGAGTTATAGCAGTTTATTTTTACAATGAGTGGTTTAGCACTCAGCTATATAATATTTCCAGAAGGCTATAATTTCATCTGCAAGAGAAAACTAGACACCTTCAGCGCTGTTAGAATGTATATTTTTACGTTTGATGGATCTAGTTTAGCAGTTGTTTTTTGCCACCTTGCTCTGAGAAAGACGGCTAAGTGTATTGCCAGAAATATTTTCCTGCAAGAAATGTTCAGAGCTAAGAATAGCTTCGACTCAGCTCAGCAAAAAACACTGAAATAGTCTCTTGGAGGAATGACCTTCAGCTATAAAATGTCAACAGTTTTGTGAAATACCATTTATCGAAAACCAAACCACAGCCGCGGTAAAAAAAACTCACTGCTTACCTCATCGATGATGTCATCATGCAGGGCAAGGTCAGTGTGTCCCAGGTCAATACTCTTCCTGCTTTCCTCTCTTCCTGTTCCCGGTCCTGTCAATCAATCAGTCGAGCAGTCAGTCAGTTCAATGCTGACAGATGTTAAAACATTTTAACAAGGTTCAATTCTGTACATATACATATAGCTTTTCTCATCTTGCTAGAATGACATTGGCATTAGAAGAATTGTATTGGTAGTTTTTCACATTGTAGCTCATTAAAAAGAAATTACCTAAACTACAATACTATAATAGTAATCTACAGTGGACATTTAGTCACAATCATTATGTCAAAGTTGTGTTATAGTGCAGTTGCAAACAGGAACATGCAAATAAAACTTTTCCTGTTGCTGCGTTCAAGAACACTCTGACATTTGAAATTTCATAGTCAGCCACATAGCAACTTCTTTTTAACACAAGACAAAAAAAATTTGTACTACATACTGCTGTTAGGGCTCAGTGAAATTCATTTTAAACTTTCATTGTGTGTTTTGTTTTTCTTCTTAGCTAAAGGAATTACCGCCACCTACTGTGTTGCAGTGTGAACCACCAAGCGAGAATGGAAAGAAACGGAGATGATTTAAGAGGTGCGTGATTATTTACACGATATTGTCATATGTGTATTATTAACACGATATCAATATTGCAACACTTGCAACAGTATAACCAGAAGGATTTTCACAACACACTAAAACAAATTGAAACCAATGGCTACATAAAAGGAAAAATCTATCTTTAGAATTAATAGTATGCTTTGAAATGTGGCAGAATGCAATCAGAGTGGCCTCTTAGCTCAGTAAAGTCTCCTTATTGTGCTGCTGCTCAGTTTTCTACAGATTTATGTAGACAGAGCTGAACATGTGGTCTGAGTACAACTGGAACTTGTCAGTAATGTGTTATTTTGCGCTGTGCTTTTGCTTTATTTCTGCCCGTCTTACCAGTCTTCTTCTGTTTGTTATTGGGGAGTTTCTTGACCGAGCTGCCGTGGCTGAGGCGGCGGACTGGACTGGTCAGCCATTTTCTCAGAGTGTTTCCAGAGCGTTTGGGACCAGGAGAGCTGGACTGCAGCGAGCTGAGGGACGGCTGTGGCTGGAGGTTCGCCACTGACTCCGTCTTTCCATCAGAACCGCTAACGGGATAGTTTTCTGAAAGAAATTAGATAGAAATCACATTTTAGTAAGATATATCATCAACTCAGCATACATCAGACAACCCTGTTTCTCTTCCCTTGTTCTGGTACAGGGTTTTAATCTTTCCTGGCTCAGGGTTAAAATACAAGACATGAAGTTGTTCATGGTGTTCTACAGGTAAATAGAGGAACTTGAGCACTTTTCTAGTCTGGCGCCTTTACGCTTCATGACGTCCTGCTCCACTTGCTTTGTTGTGACTCAAACAGAGGTTGGTCTCTGTGCGCTCTGTGTTTGACGTTTACAGTCACGTTAAATCAGCTGACAAGTTCACACGCTCCGACATCATCGACCGTTAATCACATTACTGAGGTTTTCACCCTGTCAGTTACTTTAATAAATCAGAAAGCGGTTCTCTTAGTTTGTGTGTGGTAATAATTGACAGTCTTTTCATCAGCTCCAGCCACATGCATGTAAGCTTTCATTTCTATGAGTCATATCTTTATTTCAAATATTAAAAAATTCAAAAGACCTTAAGCTCTTTAACTTTTAATGGAACTACAGTCAGAACTACATGAAACAGATTTTTATTAAATCTTTATTTGAGGTTCCATACAACTTAATGGGAATTTGGAATATTGTTTAAACTAGCCTAAATGTAAGTGGAGATACCTTTAAACCATGTTTTCACTAGTCTTAAATGATCTGCAGATATCTGTTTTCCTCCGCATTCATACACATGTGCTTTAGTTAAACATGTTCAGACACGATAGCATTGTGTTTTGGTTCTTGGTAAGTAAGATCCAGATGATTATCCCTATTGAAGAAAAACAAAGTCTGTTTAGCAGCTGCTCTCATGTCACACTTGCCTCATCTGATAAAACTGCCACTTGTACCCATGTTGAACATAAATTCCTTCCTTCCTTGCTTTAGTATTATATTTGACAGCAGTTCTTTAAGACATGCACAACTGAATAACAAACTGATTTTGAATCCAACTGAAGCAAAAGGAGAAATATCTGATTGCGTTTAAAGTATACCAGGAAGCAGGAAATGTTATCAAATAGACGTTATATGTTGACTGATATCAGTGTAGAGTTTAAACCATTTGAACCGGATCCGGGTGTGAGAGTGTGTGTCTGAGAAAGAAGCGGTAGTCATGTGTCATGAGTGTGGTAGATCAGCTGCACTCACACAGCTGGGAGCTATGGGCTGTGGCTGCTGTGTGGTTGAATCTATGTGTGCGTTTCAGACAGGAAATGAAAAGTTAAGGGTCAACAGTATCTCCTGAGGTGTTCTGCTGCTTTTTTTTGGTCACCTTCTTTTCTCTCCCTATTCATGCCCTCCCTCCTCCTCTCTACTTTTTGTTTGAATGTCTCTGACTTGTACTCAAATGTCTGTTGCCGAGCTGCAGGCAAAAAACAAAAACATGTGATATTCTGTTATTTCTGTGACGATCAACAATAAAATCACTTTCACTTCCTACATCAGCACCAACAGTGTGCAGAAAGAGCGGACTGTGTTTGTGTTAGTTAAGATTACTTGAGCAGTGTGGGTTAATGAGTCTGTATTAGTGGAGTTGTTATCTGACTGTGTCAGCAGTGTAGCACAGATACAACCTTGTGTTCAAAACAGTAGCCAAGGTCACCCAGTGCTACTAAGGTGCCAACTTCTTGAGATAGAGATAAACACATGGCAGAACAAAAATCTGACACTGCAGAGAGGTGGAGGGGGACACTGCTGAATAGGCCTGTCATATCTGCCTGTGTTGGACCACGCATTATTGTAAAAAAAATCAAAACAAAACACAACACCAACCAACGCAACCCTCTCTAACCACCACTGCCCATGTTAACAAAAAAGTGCACTTGAACAAATATTAAACATTTGGTACAGGGGTGGACTATAGAGTCATTCATTCCTTAACAGGCTATACGTATAGTTATGGCAGGGAGAACCCTGCTGTTTATTCTGGCATCAGTGTCTTAAATAAGCTTTTACTTTTTCTTCATCTACCAATCACTGGCCAAGGTGATTGGTAGATGAAGAAAAAGTTAAAGTTAAGTACCTTTTTTATATTATATTTATATTTATATCTGTTTCAGTATATTTCATTGGGATGGTTATGGTATTTCCATTGGTATTATGTTTAAGACAACTTAAAGAATAGGCCAGAGCAAAATTCAAGCCTGAAAACAATCTCAAGTTCTACTATGGATGTTCAGTCATTTTAACCAACTTAAACCTCCCCACCACAGTCCTGGTGCCACAGCATTACATCGTTTGTGGGTATTTACATGCATACATAACTAACATATTTTAATGAGCTGTGTAGTAGCGGAGTTGTTGTCCTGAGCGGTAAACAGTGCAGAGAGTGCTCGAGACGGTCAGTTTTGCAGCACCATCTAGACGTGCATAAAAACACTTCTGATAGTGTGCGCAAGCAACACAGCAGTAAATTACTCAAAAATGCTGTACTCTCTTTTTTATTACATGGCACAAACATTTACCTGCCAGTGTGGAGGAAAGCCTTCTTGAATTTACTCACCTAATGGAAAATCTACCCTAATTTGGCGCTTGGTGGGTGTGTCTAAAATGTTGGTGACATTCTTAAAGGATATGCTGATATATGGTATATATAATACAATAAATTAATAAATAATGTAATTATTGTGACAGGTCTGCTCTATATATCTCAAAACTTGACCCCATACTGGGTGTTAGACAGTTCTAGACATCCATTTTACCGCTGGTGGAGGCCTGCTGGGGAACCGTACAGAACTGAAACACACAAAGGCACTTTATACTAACAAGGTGTTTATAATTTTTTAATTTACTATAAATTAAATACACACACACCACACACACACACCACACACAACACACACACACCACACACCTTTTGTTGCCTTTTTCCTTTGTAACTAACCGAAATTCCTTTGTGTTTGTAAGATTGATTACTACGGCCTGAGAGTTCCACAATGTAGACAGGCCAACCTGCCCAAAGGGCAAAATCAGGAAATAATACCACAAGGGTTGGCCATAAGCTCTAAACCACAAACAACTAAACATCACCAAGTACCTGACACCTCTCCAAACCAACCAATTCAACACATTTTAGTTTCAGAAAACCTTATCTTGGGAATGTACTCTAAAGTCCAACTGTCTGTAACCTTAAGACAGTCTTGATAAAACAGATACTGCTATTGGAAACATGAGAGTCTCTCAGTTCACATGGTTTCCACAACCTTGCTAATCTGTTAATTTTCAAGAATGCCTGTAATGCCTGATTTCATTTATCTGATAAAGTGTTGTCAAAAAAAAAAAACAGCCAGCGAGCAATAAGATCACAGTTAGAGAAAGCCCTTTATTTGAGCGTGACATAGCATTTTGGCAACATTGCTTATTATTGTTATCCAAATCATTTGCACATAGACTGAATACCTCAACACAACATATCCACCAATTTAATCAGAGTGTGTTTGTATTGCACTCCACCAGCTCTGTTCGGCTCCACAGCAGAGTTAACTGACAGTATATACGGTACCGAACCTCCCCCATCTCTGTCGTCAGGCTTTCAGTGCTTACTTCCTGAAGTGCCCACTGAGCCAAATCCACTCATGTGTTCTTAAGAGAGAAAATGTCATAGGTCATCTGTGTGTGCACCACAGAAACTCATCAAGGACTCCAGTACACACACACGTACACACACACACACACACACACACACACACACACACACACAGATACAGCTGACTGATAAGACTACATAGCTTTATCCTCTCCTCCTTTAGACCAAATTATGGTGCATTGTGCTACTTTTAGCTGCTGGGAGCCGACCAGTCACCACTGTAACCAGGAACAGCTGTTAAAGGACCACACCGTATACTGAGCCTAAAGGTTCATTCTGGACCTAGGAAACAGCTGACCCAACTGTGCCAGATGGTTTCTTACACAGAACCATCTGGGAAGTCCTTGTTGGAAACTGTTGGAAAAGGGCAGGCACTTTAAAAAATACTAGGCAGGGGATTGGATGACTCATCAGTCTATTACTGTCTATCAAGAGTGAACTTCAACCAGTCAGATCAATGAACCATATAACGTGGTCAAACTTGTACTGAAGCCAGTAGAGAGGAGTGAAAACATCTTTTCCATCAAAAAAAGCCTTCAGTGCTGTTCTTTGCTCATCTGTCAATGAAGGAATACTCTCCAGTTCTGATAGAACTGATGCTAGCAGCGTCTACGCTAACGTCTTTAGCAGCCGCCATTGTTGTTTGGGCAAACAGTCACTGCTCACACACACCTAACTTTAAACCATGCCCGTGGCTGCAAGTAGCGTTAATTGGTGTCTTGAAGCATGGCCACTGTTATCTCGTGAATCCAGCTGCCACGCAACGTTAAAAAACAGCAGCATGACCAAAAAAAATTTAAAAAATGAAAAATACTATGCACACAAGGTTCACTTATTTGCCGTTTCCAAAGCTTTCACACACAGCTCGTGGCCTTCCTCAGCAGATGGAGTGACTCAGGTGTGATGGTTCAGTTGTTGAAACCTAATTGGTATGCTGTTGTAAAGTATTTGTGATTTGTACTAAATAAATGACAATACAAATTCCACCATGTTTTGTCATCAAGCAAACAAGATGATCCGGTCATGATACATCTTCATGTCTGGGAAACAATTCCACAGTTACACCTCTGGCCTCAGATAAGGAGGAGGAACTAACTTTTTACTGGAACACAAATGACAAAAATGAACTAACCCTGATGCAACATGGGTTGTCCTTGACAAGGTCACTTCATATGTGATAAAATGCCAGACTATAATAGCTGTTCCATACATCCAGGTTTGTATTTCATCCTCTACTGTATCTGTTCCTGGTAGCAGCACACTCACAGCAACACAACAACTTTCTGACATAGCGCTACAGCTGGGCATCCCTCTTACACCTTAAAAGCTACACACACTTCCTACTGCATGCTACTTGACAGATAAGGTTGTTTTAGAGGCCGGAATA